CACCTCTAGCTCCTCCCCCTGCTCCACCTCCTCCACCTCCTCCCCCGGGGGGAAAATTAGTAGCAGCTCCACCACCTCCACCTCCACCAGGTAATTAACTATTAATTAATTGATTATTTATTTATTATTATTATTAGGTATTAATTCATCATCGACAGTAATTTCCTCTGGTTTGGCAACTTTAAGACGTCCAAAGAAGATACCCAAGACAGCTGCACCATTGAAAGCTTTCAACTGGGAGAAGATGGGAGAAGTAAGTCCAGGAACATGTAATAATGAATAATGTGTAATGTCTATTCTCTTTAAGGCTCAGATAGGTGAAGACACTATATGGGCTGACATTGATGAATCTGATGTTTATAAAGAAATTAATGTTGACGACCTTGAGAAGACTTTTAAACAAATGGTAACCACATGAACAACACATGCACATCACATGCACATCACATGCACATCACATGTACATCATGTGATGTGAATGTTCTTTATAGCCCAGGGAAAGACTGGGGTCCCTGTCTGCTGGTCGTGTTGATAAATTGAGAGAGAAGACGTTCATTAATAACAAGAGAGCTCAGAATTGTTCGATATTGCTGACTCGTCTTAAAATGTCCGACACTGAGATAAGACACACAGTACTGACAATGGACCCGACCAATAAACTGGACAAGGACATGGTAGAACAGGTAACTTATGATGTATCAATAATGAACATAATCTAACTGTAACTCTAATAAGCATTAGTATAGTATGAGGACATCAATATGTATTGGAAAATGTAATAAAAAATTGGGGGTAATTTCGGAGCTATTTTTTGGAAAAAACCATGGGCTATATCCTTGGGTATTTTTCAGATTTTTGGCGTTTTTTTTTAAATGGCCGTAACTCAAAAAATTGAAGTTGGAATCAGCTCAAACTTTCTACACAGCATAAGGACATCAATATGTATCAGAAAATGTAATAAAAATTTGGGGTGATTTCGGAGCCATTTTTTGGAAAAAAACCATGGGCTATATCCTTGGGTATTTTTCAGATTTTTGGCGTTTTTTTTTTAAATGGCCGTAACTCAAAAAATTGAAGTTGGAATCAGCTCAAACTTTCTACACAGCATAAGGACATCAATATGTATCAGAAAATGTAATAAAAATTTGGGGTGATTTCGGAGCCATTTTTTGGAAAAAAACCATTATATCCTTGGGTATTTTTCAGATTTTTGGCGTTTTTTTTTTTTAAATGGCCGTAACTCGAAAAATTGAAGTTGGAATCAGCTCAAACTTTCTACACAGCATAAGGACATCAATATGTATCAGAAAATGTAATAAAAATTTGGGGTGATTTCGGAGCCATTTTTTGGAAAAAAACCATGGGCTATAGCCTTGGGTATTTTTCAGATTTTTGGCGTTTTCTTAAAATGGCCGTAACTCGAAAAATTGAAGTCGGAATCAGCTCAAACTTTCTACACAGCATAAGGACATCAATATGTATCAGAAAATGTAATAAAAATTTGAGGCGATTTTTGAGCCATTTTTTGGAAAAATCCATGGGCTATAGCCTTGGGTA